GTGGGATGAGGTATGCCGCACCGGCAAGCCCGGAGAAGAAATGGAAACTTGATGGGGGGAGGCGTCCAGTGTGGACAGGGCACGCTCAAGCTTTTCTGATGGGTGGGGCCTTGTGGCCCGAGAGAGGCCTGTGAGCTGTCCAGGCTGCCAAGGCCTAAAGGGCTATGGCGGCCACAACTGTCCACGGTTGCTCTTAGTCTGTCTCCCTCCCTGGGAAGGGACCCTGGTGTTGTCCGTCCACTAGTCCCACCTGGCTCTCCTGAGGTTTCCACAAGCCCTAAGCAGAATCCCCTTTCCTCTTTCCATCCATCCCCAGACCCCCAGTCCCCAGGGCCCTCCATTCCAAAGACATCCACAGCACTGCAGTTCGAGCAGCAAGAGCCCAGATAGGGTGCCTACCCCCTTGGTCTCAAAACCGAACCAAGCTCATTGCCCTGGAGTATGATTCCGACTCACAGAGCCTCCCTATAGGACGGGAGAACTGCCCCTGGGGGTTTCAGAGACTGTCCACCTCTTACAGGAGCAGAGAGCCTCCTCTTTCTCTCATGGAGGGGCTGTTGGTTTGAACCATGGACCTTGTGGTTAACAGCCCAGAACTTAGCTCATCCACCCACTACACCAGAGTGCCTTTCACACCTATGCGACCCATAGCAAAGGCCAGCCTGTTCAGAGAGCAGAGATGAGGGAGTCGCTCGGTTTTAGAGAAACAGTGCTGACCGCTCTTTGCATCTTTCCTCCTGTTCTGGAAAACTGGGATGGGGGCGTGCTAACTTCTCTGTGTCTCCCATAGACCCTGGTCTGGCACCTCGGAGCCAAACCCCTGGACAATGACTCCTTCGTGCAGGTCATCCTGCGGGATGTGGGTGCCACAAAGCAAGAAAGGTGAGGCTGAGGGCCGCAGCCCAGGCTGCCATCCTATGGGGATGAGCTAGGGCATCCCAGGTCAAAATTCCTCGGTCAGAGAATCTGATTGGTCCAGCGCAGGCCAGGTGTCCACCCACAACGCAGTGAGCCTTCGCTGGGCCTGGCTCCGGTTTTGAAGGAGTGTGGGAGCAGAGGAGCTAGGAAGGAGTGAGGGCAGAGCAGAAACCATGGCGGAGACATCCCCTGTCCTAGGAGTCAATTGCAAGAGAGTCAGGGGGGCCCTCAGCGCTCCAGTGGATGCTCCACCTCACCGTGGCCTGCCTTCGGCTCCTGTGGGAGAAAGCCAGCTGTTGAGAAAACCATGCCTGGGACAGAAAAGGACACCCCCTCCCCTGACCTGCCCTTTGTCGTCCTAGGTTCGTTGGCATGGCCACAGTACTGCTCAGGCCCTTGGTGGACCAGCCAAGTAAGACTCTCTTGGTGAAGGACCTGCCCCTGCTCACCCATTCCATGGAGCCTACCACTGTGAGTGAGGCACAAGGAAGACCCTGGTAGAGAGGGCTGGCTGAGCAGGCTGGGCGTAGCAGTGTAGGAGAGGCAGTGAGGTGGCCTTTACTCCAGTGAAGGGTCCCATCCTGTGGTCACGTCATCCCACTGGCCCTCCCACCCTTCCATCCACCCACTCATCCACCCTCTGGTCTTCCACGTATCCATTTACATTGATTCGCCTGATGAATCGAGCACTGGCATGAGAAACTGCAGTGGGCAATGGGATAGTCTGATGGAGTGAGGCCCACACTCTCCACACATAGAGAAGGCTTCGTCCAGCCAGGGTCAACAGGAATAAAGGATTCTGCATGGGATGTAGTAGAAGGTCTTAATAGAGGACATGATGTTGAAGATGAATCTTCAGAGGGACGTGAGTTCCCCAGTGGATGACCCTCAGTCAGGTGCACAAGGTGACAGTGCAAAGACTGAACGGAGAATGAGGCAGCTCGGCGTGTGGGCGGAGTGGGAGAGATGGGGCTGGGTGGGCAGGCAGGGGGCAGAAGGCCAAAGTACGTTGTATGTTTACCCCGATCACTTTGAGGACCTTTAAAGGGACACCTGGAGCCCTGGGGGGTGGAGGCCAGACCAGCAAATGATTCACGTGCTTGGCTGTCATCCAAAAGAGTTGTGGTGAGAGCCCACCCTTTGGCACTGCGGAAGAAAGACCTGCTGGTCTACTGAACCAACCAACCAACCAACCAATGAACTAGATGAACACACACACACACACACACAGCCATGGAAGATCTATGGAGTACTGTTCTGCCTTATCTCGTGGGCTGACGGTGAGGCAGAGTTGAGTATTCTGCACGTGGTTGGTTTGGTTTTCTCTGTGTGTTTCGGAGTACACTCGGGTGTACTGGTGATGCCGTGGGGGGCCGGGGGATAGTGAGGGAGCTTAGAGGCAAGAAGTCCATCAGGAGGTGTTTGTAGGGGTTCTCCCATGAAGCCAGGTGATGTTTGCCTGGGGGGAGGCGGACTTTGGGCATCTGGTATCAGTCAGCATTTGGTCTTCACGTCGGCTCAACCTCTTCTCCTCACCCACCCACCTATCCTCTCCTGCCACTGCCACGCCAGCATGCAGATTCCCTGCGCTGTAAACAAGTGTTTGCAGCGCAGGAAATCTGCATGTAAACTCATGGCTTCTGAGCTCGCTGTCTCTTCCCAAGCCTGGGCAGGTCCTCATGGTATGCCCTCATACCCCAGCCAGCGTCGCTCCACTCAGGAGCTGGCCACGAGGCTAGCCAGGCTGGGTGGCCAAGTTCAAGCGCTAAGACCTGGGAGGGGGTCTCAGAGCGTGGCTCCCGGCTCACTTTCCTTTCCTTTTCAGTGCACTGTCACCCTACAGGCGGTCCTTGTGAGCCCCCGGCATTTCAAGACAGGTAGGTCCTCTCTGGGGCCTCCCCCTTCCCTTCTCCAAGTGTAGCTGGAAGGGTTCTTTGGGACCTTGGAGACCTGTCCTGGGGGGCAGGGGGCAGGGCGCTGTTGAGGGAATGGGAGCTGGCCGGAGCCCGAGGACCTAGGGGCATCTAGAGGCTGCTCTCCAGACCTTGGGCTGAGGCTGTCTGTCACCACAACACATCCACGCATTGTCCTCTCTAGCCTTGAGAGCCAGCTGTCACCCAAGACGATGACCTGGAATCAAAGCCATTTCCCAAGGGCAAAGAGTAGGCCCTGCCTAAAATCAAACCTACTGCAGTTGAGTCCATCCAGTTGATAGGGAGCCCATAGCAGAGTGGAGCTGCAGGTGTCCCAGCCCAAAGGCAAAGGTGACAGGACAGGGTGGGGTGGGAAACGGGGAAGCCGAGGGCAGAGCTGAGGAGAGTGTGGGCCCACTGTGAGACATGCACCCAACAGTGTGCAGGCTTTATGAATAGCTGCAGAATGGGGACCTCGTTTCCTCTGGAGACCTTCACCCAACACACAGCGCTGCTCCTCGGTTCAGACCAGACCCGAGCATGTACACGGGTATAGATAAGAGCTGGGGGCTCGTGACACACGGAACCCAGGACCAGGGGTGGGACTAGCGGTACCAGAAGGGTAGGGAGTGAAGGGGGGAGAGGAAGGGAGAAAGGGGGAACCGATCGCAATGCTCGACCCATAACCGTACACCCCTCTCCAGGGGGAAGAACAACAGAAAACAGGGGGGAAGGGAGACAGTAGTCGGCGTGAGATATGAAAATAGTAACAAGGTACAATCTATCAAGGGGTTATAAGGGTCACAGGGGAGGTAGGAGGAGGAAAAAAGAGGAGCTGATACCAAGGGTTCAATAGAAAGTAAATGTCTAGAAAAGAATGATGGCAACATATGTGCAAACATGCCTGATGCAATCGATGTATGGATTGTAACAAGAGTTGTAAGAGTCCCCAATAAAATGATCTTAAAAAAATAAAAGATCTTAATAAATGCTAATTATTGTAATTAAAAAAGAAAAAAAAAAAGGCTCCGTTGCTAGTCAGCTTCAGAGGGAGGCAAGGATGGCCATTTCCAGAGTTCCTGTTTGTGGAGCCTGGACCTCAGGAATAGAGACCGACCGAGGATGAGAGGGGCCGTGGAATGCTCTGGAAAGGACGGGGTGTGTCTCTGGAGGCCCCTGGGCTATATTTTTAATCAGAAGTGGGTCACTGGGGACAGAAAGCTGAAATGGGGAAAGCGCCCCACACCCGCCTGGAGTCCAGGCCTCTGAGCGGGCCCTGGGCTGTTTCTGCAGAGGACGAGGACCCCTTGGGCACAGCAGCGCAGGAAGTGGAAATGCAGAAGCTGATGATTCCTGGCTACACCGTGCCCAGGGCTCTGTCCTCAAAGGCCCAGGATTTTCAGGTAAGGCCTTCCAGGTTCAAAGCCCATGTGACCCTGGCCTCTATTCCCAGGGGACTCCTCCCCCTTCACAAGGCCATGAGCACTACTTCACGACAAAAAAGAACCCCACAAGCGGGTAGCCTTGAAAAACAGAAATCTCTCTTATCACCGTCAGGGGCCTAGACTGCGGGCTGGAATGAAGGGCGTTGCCCTAAGGGAAGGCACTTCTTTGTCTCTGTCAGCTGCTAAGAGCTATCAGCAATCCCTGGCACTTCTGTGCTGACAAATGCACCTGCCCCACATGTCTGTCTTCACAGGAACATCATCCTCCAGCCTGCTTATGTTGTATCTGTTCTGCAGTTTATATAACTCGGGAGAGATTCGGTTTAGAACACACCCTAACTTGACAAGGCCTCCTTAATATAACGAAGAAAACCCTATTCCTAAAAGAGACCACCTCCTCACAGGTACAGGGATTAGGATTCCAGTGCCTTTTTGGACAATACAACTCAATCCTGTAGCATTGTCTATAATCAGAGAGGACCCGCTCCGGCGGTGGCCTGCTAGCCCAGGGACTCTCTGCTTTCAAAACTCTCCCAGAAGCCCATACCAACTGAGAAGAGAAACACTGTGTCCACATAAGGGGGAGAGGCAAAGAGGTGGAGGAGACAGTTCCCAGAACCAGGGATATAAACACCCAAGGCCGTTCCCTGGACGTCAAGGCCCCTGCCACCAGCCAGAGTCAGTGCCACCTCCCCCTCCTCCCTGTGTGTTCTCTCCCTTATCTGCAGTAGCTAGACTGTTTCTCTGCAGAACAATTTCACTCTTGAGAAAAGAGACCTTGAGAGTTAAGAAGTGGAGGCCAGGCCCTTGCGGTCTCCCCTACAGGTTCGCGTGAGGGTGTTTGAAGCCCGACAGCTCTTGGGCAACAACCTCAGGCCACTGGTGAAAGTGACCATCGGAGGCAAGGAGCATCGCACGAGGATCAAGCTGGGGAACAATCCTTTCTTTAATGAAGTGAGTGCCAGAAACTCTGGATTGAATGGGCGCGGGGCATGTCGGTCAAGAGCACTAGCCAGGGGCTGGCTGCTTCCTGCAGGCAAGCTTGCTGTGTGCAAGGGCATTTTCCTTGTTTGTTGCACAAACGTTTCCTGAGCACCTACCGGAAGCCGAGCACCATGGTTGGCACTGGGAAGACGGAAGTGAGTCATTCAGGGGTCTGATGGGCAGCACAGCCTATAAGCGCATCCACTACAATGACCAAGACCGGGGCTGACGGGGCTCTAGAAGCCCTAGAATGCTGGTTCTGACTGTGTATTTGTCATGGTTGAAGCCCCACGTTCTAGCACCGTGTCTGATCCGCGATGAACCCAAACTCCCACTCCTGGTCATTGAGTCCATTCTGCCTCATGGCCACCCTCTAGGACAGGGCAGAACTGCCCCTGTGGGTTTCTGAGATGGTAGCTCTTTACAAGAGTAGAAAGCATCATCTTTCTCCCACATGGGCTGGGGAGGTTTGAACTACTGACCTTGCAGTAAGCAGCCCAACATGTAGCCACTACACCACCAGGGCTCCTGATACACAGTAGAGGCGCCATACATATTTGTCAGATTAACTGGTTAATAAGCACACAGAGTCCAAGGTCACTATGAGCCCTGCGTGTTGTCAGGAGATATCAGGCCCTGGAGAAGGTAAAGTAGAAGGGGGGTATAAAGGAGGAAGGCTGTCAGCGAGATGGCTTGGCTACCTTGGCTGCAACCCTGGGCTCAGGCCTAGGAACAACTGTGAGCATGGTGCAGGGCCGGGCAGGGCTTCGTTCCGTGTGCATGAGGTCGTTACCGACGGCACGGAACAACAACACGAGTCGGAATGAACTCCATGCCAGTGAGTTTGGTTTGGGAGTACACATAAGTCAGCAGAGAGGAGGCTGGGGGCAGAGGGGTGACTTCAGGAAAGGCCCCCTAAACCTTGTAGGAAGGCTGGGAGGCGGGTGGGGAGGGAAGATGGTAGTTCAGGTAAGACGAAATGAGCTGGGGCCCCTTTGTGGAAAACAGGTGGGAACCACTAAGGGGATCAGGCAGGAGAGCGGCAGGCCCAGGTTTACAGGTCCTGGCTGCAGGGGGCCAATCCAGAATATGGCGGGAGCCTGAATCTCCATCACTGGCCTTGGCCTGCTCCTGACGGATTCTCCGGGAATCCCTACATGTGTCCTTCAGGTGGACAGAACCCTTCCAGCAGCCAGGAGCCTTCTGTTTCCTAGGGAACAGGAACGTGAGTGAGCTGAAAGTCCTTGGATTGGGTAACGGACACGGAAGAAGCATTCTATTCTCTGTGTCCTTAGATGAATGAATGAGGGTGGGGAGGGAGTAGGGGAACCTTGTCCGCCTGTAACCATATTCTCTCTGCCTCAGACCTTCTTCCAGAATTTTCATGAGATTCCTGCAAAGTTCTTCACCCACGTCATCTTAATCCAGGTGAGGAGCCAAACTGTCCTCACGTTCCTGTCCCACCTCAACCCCAGAAGCCCTATGGCCCCCAGGCCCCCCCCTCAGAGCCAAGGTCACTTCGGGGTGTGTGTCTGAGTTCAAGGCAGCATCCCCATCACCTGCGCACACACACATCCGCGCCCCGCACTGGCAGCCCAGATTCCCCTTTCACGAATTCGTTCAATAAACGTTATGAGGTGCTGCAAGTGGCCAGGTCCAAGCTAGGTGCCAAGGTGCCCAGGACAGATCCTTCCCGGGACGTGGAATTTTCTGCCACCACAGCACCCTCCAGACGGGAGGGTCCTCCACTCCCCAGTCTGAGGGAGCCAGGTAACAGTGTGAACACAGGTGGACCAAGTGCCGCCCGTGTGCCCAGAGGCCAGGGCAGCACAGAGGTCTGGGAGCTCAGCTGTTAATCAAAGAGTTGGCCATTCAATCCCTCCCTGGAAGGGCACAGCCATGAAAACTCTTTGGAGCACAGTTCTGCTCCGCATACCTGGGGGCTCTGTGGTCAGAACCCACCAGAATCAAAGGCACTGGGGTTTGGCGTGATGATGCCTTCTTACTGTGTGCTCAGCCCAGCGCCGAGGAGGATGAGGCGGCTCCCCCTGAAAGAGTTGGCCTGTTTCTGGGAACCCAGACACTGAGGAACCACTAGGGCAGCAGTAATGGAGAATGTTCGTGGAGGGCAATGCCTTAGGGCTTTGTGACGAATTGGCAAGCGAATCGGCCTCTGTGACCCTCAATTCCTCGTGCAATGAAGCCTCACAAGGGTCTTCTGAGAATTGAATGAGAGCAATCTATGTGCCAATGCCAAAAAGTTGAGGCTGGTAAACCAGAAACTAAACCCACTGCCTTCGAGTTGATTCCAACTGTAGGCAGTCTCTCGAGGGTTGCCGTAGCCCTCAGCTTTCCCCCAAGGAACTGGTGGGTTTGAACCGCCAACCTCGTGGCTAGCAGTCCAATGCCTACTCAAAAGCTCCACCAGGGCTCATTCTAGGCAATCAGCAAACATGTCCTAAATCTCGGAGGACCCTAGATGGGCTCATACTCTTCCTCCCGTGGTAGGGAGGGAAAATTGGAGTTATGGATCATTGAAATCTTTCTGGGAATTCCTTCACAGGTGATAAACTCCTCAGTGCCGAGACACAAATCAGAGATCGGGAGATTCCAAGTGAGTACTGAAGGTAGAAGGAGGTAAACAGTTAGAGAGAACCCCGTTAGGCTCCAAGTCCCAGAACCGGGATATTTGCATTAGGAAAACCCACCTATGCACGGGTGACTGGGGCACGTGATGCCGACTCTGTTTCCCCATCTGTTGTCTGTGGGGACGCTGACCTAACCACCCACAGGGTCATTGCATGTTGTTGTCAGCGAGTCATGTCTGGTTGACAGCAGCCCTGTGCTCATCAGAACGAGCGCTGCCAGTCCTGTGTCAGCCGCCAATCATCGTTACAGGCACGGTAGGGAGCCTCTCTGACCGTCCTCGGCCCCGTGTTGAACGCCTCATACGTGTACGGTTCAAACCTCTGCCTCCTGCAAAGTAGCAATGGGAGGAAAGGGGTGGGGGCCCCCAACCCATTGCTGATGAGCGGATTCAGACGCACGGCAATTCAGACTGTGTGTGTCGGAGCAGTCTGCTTCAGAGGGCTCCCTGGCTGTAATCTTGGCAACGGCGGGTCAGGTTTTGCTTCCGCAGCGAGGCTGGGTGGGTTTTGATCAGTGTCAGACATGGGATCAGAGGCTGTAGACTGGCTGATCTAAGTGTTGGGGAAATCCAGACAAAGATGGCTCCTCGGGAGAACAGAGGAAGGAGATTTGATTTGGAAAGACGCGGCCCGAGGGAGGAAGACAGATGGTCTAAACACAGCATTTCGGATCCAGGAAGATCAGCAAAGGGAAGGGTTGGATGGACCTGGAGAGGCTGATGCCTCGTGAAAGCAGCCGTCACAGAAGGACAATACGGACTGGAACCGCTGGCAGAGGCCCGAAGACAAGACAAAGGCTTTCCAACCCGAGGGGGAGAGTTTGGCGGTTCCCCGGGGGTGGGGGCCCAAAGGAGGGAGATGAAGCAGTAGATGGGAGAGGTGCGGGTGTTACCCTGGGTGACCAAACTGAAGCCAGACCCACTGCCATCAAGTCAGTGAGGTGAAGGGGTCCTGTCATCCACGGAGGGAGAAGAGAATCAAAGGCTGGGTGGGGACAAGATAAGCCACAGGCACGGGGTGGGGGGCGGGGGGCCGTTGATGGGCTGAAATGTAAATCCTCACCCAATTCAGAGTGAAAAAAAGGTTTTTTAATAAAAGGATTGGATTCCCAAATGGAATGCAGGATGCCCAGTTAAATTTGAATTTTAGATACGCTGCAAGGGTTCCTGACGAAATAATGCTGGGAATATCTTTCTACTAAAAACAGGCATTTACCGTGGATCTGAAGTTCACATTTTACTGGGCACCATGTGCTTTTCTTTGCAAAATCTGTCAACCCTAGGAAAAGGATTCCCCTCTTGGGAAAGGCAAGTATAAGACAAATACTTAACTACTGACTGCAAGCAGTGAGTACATTGCATTCACTACGTGCTTCTCCCTCCATCTCACCCAACCCAAAGAAAGCACCGGCTGGCTAAGGAAGAGCTTCTCAAGAGGCTAACCTGGACGCTCTGTGCGGCACAACAGTGCAGGGCTTGACGATCAGCCGAAGGTTGGTGGTTCAAACCCACCCAGAAGCACCTTCGCAAGAAAGGTCTAGCTTCCATCAGGTCACAACTTTGAACCCCCTCCTCTCATAAACCCAAGGGTTCTCCATGAGTCACAATCAACAGCAACTAACAACCCCCCAAAAGTGGTAGCAATGTTTATGACAGAGGCGCGACACAGTTCCCAGACAATGACCACCCACCATACACACGATGCATGGAGCCCAGTGACGGAGGGGGGCCTGAGAAAAGCTGGACTTGACAGAGCTCCTTGTGGTGGACACTTTCTGTGCATGATGCAACGCTCGTATATTCACAAACGTAGAGGGAAGAGGATCATGGGTGTCCGCATCCTCATTATGCGACTTGACCAACTTACAGCCAATCATGCTTTTTCTACATTCCCCACCTACCCCACCGCTTCCCCTCCCGCCATGGATGCTTTTTGAATGAAATTTTAAGTAGACCATCACTTTATCTGTAAATAGTTCAAGTAGTCTCTCTAAAAGGTAGGAATTTTATTCATCGTAAGCACAATGCCATCAATGAATGACCTTTGGAGGTCCTGGGCGGCATTAAATATCTAGTCGGTGTTCCTAGTCCTTGAATTCTTCCTACTGTTGTTCAAAGAAAGACCAAAACAGGTCCACACGTGGCAGTTCATTAGTATGGATTTTAGATTCCCATCCTCTTCTTCCCACCCAGCACTCCCCCCACCCCTCCTTACATTTTCTTTGTTAAAGAAACTGGATGGTGTACCCTGCAGAGCTCCCCTGGGTCTGGATAGGAACGATGGCATCCCCAGGGGATTTCGAGGCACCCTGGTGTTACAGTGGGTCACGCGTTGGGCTGCTAACCACAAGATCAGCAGTTCAGAACCACCACCCGATCTATGGGGACAAGATGAGACTTTGTTCCGTGAAGAGTCTCAGAGTCTCGAGAACTCATGGGAGCAGCCCCACCCTCTCCTGTGGGGTCACTGTGAATCAGAAGGGGCTCCAGGGCAGTGAGTTTGTCCTGTTTTGGGTCTGGCCCTGTATTTTCTGTCTACTGGAGCGGTCAGTCTCAGGGTCAATATTTCTACAAGGCAACTTCAGCAGGAGGCACAGAATGTCTGTCTGTTTGTCTCGCTTTTGTTGTTAGCAGCTATTACTAATCACTGCCCAGATGTACTGCTCCACAGAGGGGAGTTGAGCAGGTCTTTTTTTCTTCTTCTTTCAACAGCTTTGTTGAGGTATAATTACCATACAATACACTGCATCTATCTGTAACCTACAGTCGATTAACATCTACATGTGGTTGTTGCTGTGAGGTGCCATTAAGTAGGCTCTCGCCCATAGTGACGTCATGCACCACAGGACAAAACACTGCTCGGTCCTGCGCCATGCTGACCATTGTCCCTACGCCTGAGCCCATCCATGCAGCCACGGTGTCAGTCCATCTGGGTGAGAGCCTTCCTATTTCCTTGCTGCACCTCCACTGTACCGAACACGTCCTTCTCCAGGCGCTGGTCTCTCTTGAAAAATGCCCCACGTATGTAAGACGAAGTCTTGCCACCCTTGTCTCTAAAGAACACTCTGGCCTTACCTTTTCCAATCCAGTTTGTCCTTTTAGCATTCCATGGTACTTTCAATATTTCTCTAGCCCCACAATTCAAACGCACCTATTCTTCTATGGCAGTGGTTCTCAACTTTCCTAATGCTGCAACCCTTTAATACAGTTCCTCTTGTTGTGTGACCCCCAACCATAAAATTATTTTCATTGCTACTTCATCACTGTAATTTTGCTACTGTTAGGAATTGCCATGTAAGTATCTGATACGCAGGATGTGTTTTCAATGTTACAAATTGAACATAATTAAAGCATAGTGATTAATCTCAAAGCAATATGTAATTATATATTGTGAAATATCTATTTCTAATTACAAATAAATGAACTTTTGTCTGGATGCATGGTGTAGCATGGGTAACAGTCTTCATGCCAGGTATCTGCATGGGGCGTATCTGCATGTGGGCGGACCCACCTGGAGAAGGACAGAGGGGCGGTGCTTCGGTTCCTAAGACCATTGGAAATATGTGTTTTCCGATGGTCTAAGGAGACCCCTGTGAGGGGTTGAGAACCACTGTTCTATGGGCTTCCTTATTCAATGTCCAACTTTCACATGGAGAATACCATGGGGAATGAAGCAATGGAGAATACTAGGGGTTGGGTCAGGAACACCTTAGTCCTCAAAGTAACATCCTTGCTCTTCGATTCTCTAAGGAGCTCTTGTGCAGCAGATTTACCTAATCCAACATGTCTCTTGATCTCCTGACTGCTGCTTCCATGATCATTGATGGTGGATCCACATAAGACAAAACCCTTTACGACCTCAACCTCTTCTCCATGTATCATGTTGTCCATTGGTTGCATCCATGGGCTCAGGCACAAGAACAGAGTTGAGGATGGCGCAGGACCATGCAGTCTTTGGTTCTGTGGTGCACAGGGTCAGACCTAACAACAACAATAACATAATGATAGCCGGCATTGTCCAGTTCTGATCCAATGGCAATTCTGGTGCTAGGAGTCAAGGAGGCACACGGGTTGGCTGAGTTTGAGGGCAGACTTTCATGAAGAATTCGGAGGCTAGTCTACGGGACCTTCTGATGGGGACTACAAGGGTGGTCCAAATGTTCTGAGGTGCCTCGCCCCACACCGCCCCCATTAATCCCACCCCATGACCCCTATGCCTCTGTCGGAAACCCTCTCCCAGGGGAAAAGGAAAACCTGTCGTTTCTTTGCCAACTCCTCCTTGACCACCGTCTTTCTCCCCTCCCATCCAGGGGCTGTTGGTTGGGCAGTGAACGTGATCATTAGATACACTTACCCTCTAGGCTTCCTCACCTACTCGCTGTAAGATTGGGTAGCGCTGATCTCAAACTCAGCGTCCTCCCTTACAAGGTGGGGTGATGATAGATCTGGGTTGTTATAAAGATGAAAGGCGTTCACACAGAACAAATGCTCACACCTGGTAACTAGTGTTGGCATCCTGATGTTCCGTAAAGCCAACCTCCCTGCCATCGAGTCGGTGCCAACTCATAACGATCTGCAGGATGGGGTCGGACAGCCTCCGTGAGTTTCCGAGACTGTCACTCCTTCCAAGAGCAGAGAGCCTCCCCTTTCTCCCGGGGAACAGCTGGTGGGTTTGCACCGTTGGCTTTTTGGTTAACAGCCCACACCCTCAAGGCTCCTATCATGTTGGCAGTGGTCTACATCTTGCCTGGAAGCCCTAACTTACCCTCACCCCTCTTATCTTTCCAGACAGATATTGGGTTTGTCTACAATTCGCCAGGTAAGGGACTGTTGTAAGTATGTATGTGTCTACTGAGAAAAACCAGGCCAGGGGTGAAAATGCTTCCATATCCCCATCGTGTCCACTCATGAGGGAAAATGTTAGTGGGTGTGTTATTTTCTGTACTTGGTGATGTTTTACTGTGCTTTATGGTCTTTTATCCTACTTTGTAATCATAGAATTGGGGGCATGTGCTCCACCCTTTATTGCAACCTAGGTTTTGGTTTCTATTTTTTGAAGCCAGGGTTGGGGAAATTGAAGGTTGAGTTTCCATGGTGACCTGACCATAACATAACAGGGTGAGGTTTGGATGTAGGGTTTTCAGAAATGCTTACCTCTATCGTATCTAGTCCCAGAGCAGGTCAGTAACCATGGTAGGTTCCTATGGTGAGAGAGAGGGGTTCCTGCTTCCTAAAGACACTAGTTGGCCGCTTCATGAGTGGACTCTTATTGCCTAAATTTTAGGCCCTAAAGATTGGGGGGTGACTGCAGGATCTCAGTAAGATGCTACCACTGCCAGTTTCTGGGAACCTGAACAAATGAGAGAAGTGTCCATACCCCTCCCCTTCTGAAACCACTGCAGACTTCAGGGAAGGGGCATTGGAGACTGGCCACTGGCCTATGACCCCTGTGTTTCTCCAGGTCACACGATCCTGAGGGAGTGGCTAGGTCTCTGCCAGCCAGATGATATGAACAGTGGTGTGAGAGGCTACCTGAAAGTCACCATCTGTACCCTGGGGGTGGGAGACCAGGCCGTGGTGAGAGTTCCCCCACCCCGCACCTCAGTAACTTTTCCTGTGGTGCTCTCCCGCTGGGGGCACCACCGGGCTCTTCACGTGGCTTTTGATCTTCCCCTCCTCCCCTCTGTCCACTGCCCCAAGTGGGAGGTTGGGGGATCAAAGCCTGGTGGCCTGGGACTTGATGCCCGGAGATTCTGACCCTCCTCCCACTGGTGTCTCCAGGTGGATCTTGTGCAACCCTATGGGGCCGATGGCACCAGTCTTAAACTCTTGAAGTTGGCGGCAGTCCCAATCCACCTGGCTTACTTAAACATCTTCATCTACTGCGCAGAGGACCTCCATTTCAGTTACAGTCGGGCTGGTGGGAGGAAGGGACGCTGATGTGCCCTACACGGTGGCATCCTGGACCCTCAAGGGGCTTCCCCAGTCCACTTTGACACTGACCTAAGGTTTGGGGTGGTGGGACAGGATACGACTCCAATCCACCAAGAACTGTTTGATGAAGGTCCCATGGGCACCCTTTGAATTGGGTTCCCCTGCTCTTGATTTGTCTTTGATGGAGACAGGTCATTGCAAGCTGGCCTATTAACAGTCCTCCTGCCTCTGCTACCATGATCCACTGACTGGGGCACAGGGGTGATTCAGGACTGGTCTTCCCAGGGACGCCAAGTGAATCCTTGGGTGGTGGCAGGGTTTTTAAGCTATCCTATCACCTCTCCATTTGTTCCCCCTAAAAGAATCCTGTTATCTCAGGCTTTTAACTTCTTGTTCGTAGGGAAACACCAACCAGGGAATCCTGTCTTGGAGGTAGAACTAAGTGGGAAAAAGGTACGTTTAGGAAGGGTGTAAGACTTGAGGGAATTGCCACCTAGATGAACTCAAGCAGCACAGAGGAGGAGGTAGTGGCAGGACACCAGGAGCTGGGCCTCTGCTTTTCCATTAAAGAGCCCTAAGGCCCTACCAAGAACTCTGTAAAGATGGAGGCTACGTCTTCATCGCTCTTGGGTCCCTGTAGCCCAGCACTTTGCATGGAGAAGATACTAGAAGTCAACTCTAGGAGTAATGTGTGACTGCAGGGATGCGTGAAGGAAGCAACCGGCCCACAACAAACCAACAGCACTGTCTCTGTCACTGACCCCTCTGGAGTTCAGTTAATTCGTATCTAAATGGAAGGTTCCAGGCGAGAGAGTTGCTAACATGCCAGGAGCCGCTATGAATAGAGAGTAGCATTTTCCAAGATGTTCTGATTCGGGAAAGATGAGCCCCCACAGGGGCTAATGCTCAAATCTGGAGAATGCTAGGTTACCTGAAATGGATCTGTCTCAAAATCCACACACCATCATTTCCACCCAAAACCTAAAAACCAGACAAAACTCACTGCCAAGGAGTCGATGATGACTCATGGTGGCCCTACAGGACAGGTGTAACTGCCCAGGTGAGTTTCTGAGATGGTAGCTCTGTGTGGAAATAGAAAGCACAGTGTTCTCCCGCCAAGTGGCTGGTGGTTCCCAACTGCTCACCCTGCGGATTGTAGCCCAGCATGTTTCCACCGAGCCACCAGGCTGCTCCACATTCGGTTAGAGGTAGTTAAATTCAGTCCACACTCAAAGGGAGCGACATTAGTCTCCACTTTTTGAAGGAAAGACCGCCAAAGAATTTGTGGACATATTTCACAAATCAGCCAGCCGATTGAGTGTTTATTTCCCAAGGAGGGATTTGAGTGCTCCCCAAACTAGGTAAGAGGCCCTTGGATGAAAGAGTATATATTTTAAAAATTAATACCTGGGTGTATCTTATATTAAAAAGTTGAAACCATCTAGCTAATGCTTAAATCCAAATATGTCATTGTCTGGAAGAAGGCTAGGCTTTACGAATGAGACCCACGGGGGGGTGGGGGGCGCGTGGGGTGCTGTACGTCAGCGTTGTTTCTTCTGTGGGAATGTTAGAGCTTGTGGGGCAGCACGGCTGCACGCCCATAGTTAGTCCTCCAGTTAGGTTTGGAGAGGCTTTTCCTCAGTTCTTGCTTCTCCGTGCGGAAAGAAGTCACCTGGTCGGAGCGTGAAAGTAAGCTTTTATGAATGGAAGCAAACTTTGTCAATCCTGCGTACTCACAGACAAGAAATCACCATCTCCAGAGGGGGTCGGGGGGAGGGAGGGAGAGAGAGAGAGAGAGAAGGGGGAGTGTGTTTGCCCATCTTTGAACTTAAATACCCTTCCTCCCGGATGGGCCTCCTCCCACCTCCCCTCAGAAGGCGTGATTGTGTATGGGTGTGCTAAGTGTGCATGTGACCTGTGATGAAACCAGTTCTGACTGTGCATGTTTTCCCCCATAGTCTTCCGGTGCACGCATGCCCCCATTTCTTAAGAAGTCCCCTTTTTCCTTTATGGGCTTGGCTGGCTGTTCCTTGTTCACTGGTGGGCCACTTTTGGGGGGCAACCTCTTTTTCCTAAGCTTCTTTCCCAATAGTTCCTACATCTACTTCTAGATTATGTCCATTGAGAAATTTACTTAAGGGAAAAGATGAGGTAGTCTTAACCCGGCAGAAGTAGAAGGGTAAGCCCAAAGACTGGCGTTATAGCTGATGAGAAGTGGTCCCAGGTGTCTTTGGGTCAGGGATGAGCATGGTCGGCTCTGGGCTGCAGGTGGCTCCCTTTAGTGGCAGGAAACAAGGGGCTGGGGTGTGGCCATGAGGCTGGGGGCCGGTACTGATCATGCGTTGGGATGTTCTCAGCTCAAGACCAAGATGCAGACCCAAACCGAGAACCCAATCTGGAACCAGATCCTGACCTTCCAAATCCAGGTATCACTGCTCCTAGGAGCCAGGGGGAAAGTGGCTTGCCCTCAAAAGAAAAGGGCGGGTGTTGGGGTGTTGGTACAAATGGGACATGGAGGCCAAGGAGCATGGCAGGTGGGCACTCAGCCTAAGAGGGAGTGTGAGAGAGCCCAGGACACGTGGGAATCTTACTGCACTGACCCCCTGCTGTGTAGGAAGGAGGCTTGTGAGTGCTCTGCCCTTGACTAGGAGCCAAAGGTAGGAGGTTTGCATCCACCTCGCCACGCCGAGGAGGAAAGGCCAGGCGATCTGCTTTCATGAGATCACCGCTCTTGGAAACCCTGCGGAGCGTGATCCAACTCTAAAGCACGAGTCAGGGTAGACTTGATGGGCAGCTCGTGTGTTTACATATTTTTATGAAAAGAGTTGGAATGCGCTTTCCAGAGAACTTTAAAGTGCTTGTCTGGGTAATCTAGCGCTGCTATAACAGATAAACCCCGAGAGGACGCTTTCACCTACAGAAGTTATTCTCCACAGTTCAGGAGGCTTGAAGTCCAAATCCAAGTCCAGAGTGCCGGCTCTAGGGGAAGACTTTCTTCCTGTGTCAGGTCTAGGGGGAGGCCCTTTACATTCCGGTGGGCCCAGTGTCCCTGGAGATCTCCATGTGTCTTGGCATCAATCTTTCCCTGGGTCTGGGAGGTTCTCCCCAGCTCCACAGAACGATCCATTCTGTGTTCTTCTTCCTTGACGGTAGCCAGGTCCCTCCTCCTCTGCTAGCTCTCCCGTCCTTTATCTCTTGCCGGATGCACGATGATGTGGGCCACATTCAGGAAAAAACCTCCCTTCCTTTGCATCATGGCAGTGACCTCAGCAAGAGTGTGGCACCTCACGCTACTCTCCTTACAGCCAGGGGCCTCATCACGTAAGATCACATCACGCGGCATCACCACATCGTGACATAACTGACAAACCACTGAGGATCATGACAGCCTAGCCACACTGGCAACTACAAAAGGGAAGAGGGCACAATTTCATCCACACCAATCCCTTTTCTCCACACTAAGAAGCAAAACACATTCTAGATTGTGTTGCATGATTTCTTGCCTCTCCGACAAGTGCCCCAAATATCACAGAGCTCTTTGGGGAAGGCCGAGGGGCATTACCGAGAGCACCGTGATGTACTGGGCTGCTTGTTCCTCGTGAGGTCCTGTAGTCTCGTCTTATAAATATATTCAGAACCCTGGTGGCATAGTGCTCCTTGGCAGAAAGATGCGGCTTTCTATTCCTGTAAGTTACAGTCTCAGAGACCCACAGGGACAGTTCTAACTTGACCTATAGGGTCACTCTGAGTCGGAATCAACGCAATGGATGTGAGTGACTATAATCTGATTTTATGTCCTTTTAGTCCTGCTCAATCCACTATTTGTCTCTTGTTGGCAGGGAGCCCTGAAAGAGTTTTGCTGCCGTTTGATGACTATGCCAGGTTTCTAAAGGCTCCGTGCAAAATAAAACCAGTTCTGGGAGTCAGCTGGGGCTCTCTCCCAAGAACCAGCGTGTAGAACTTTGTGTAACACCTGTTTGTTCTTTCCCTAAACCTTACATTTGTGTGGACACTTCTAATTAGCTCATGAGCTCCTCTGTTTCCATTATTGGACCCTCTCTTCAGTTTTTCTAGAAGCTTCCCCACACTAGCTCCCAATGAATTCTGATTTTTAACAGTTGCTCCTAACCCCACCTCCTTGGATGATTTGTATAGATTCTTAAAGTAGGAAGAAACCTAAGAGGGAACCCTAGTCCATGCCCCACTGTGTTAGTCTGGGTAGACTAGAGAAACAAATTCATGAAGACGCATATGTGTGTAAGAAAGAGCTTTATATACAACAGCAGTTGAAGATTGAGAAAACATCCCAGCCCAATCCAGATCAAGTCCATAAGTCCGATATTAGCCCATATGTCGATACCAATCTATAAGGTCCTCTTCGGACTCACGAAGCACATGCAATGACGCTGAAGGCAGGAAGATCACAGGCCAGTGGGTGGAAAGTCTTGTGGATCCAGCGGCGGTAGAAGCATCTCAGCGCTGGCAGGGGTCTCCACGTGGCTCCTCCAATTCCCAGGGCACAGGGTCTATCAGCATAGTGCCATGTGTCTTGTCAGTAGAGCATCTCTCAGGGAGTGAGCATAGAGAGAGAGTGTGTCTCCCGCCTCCAAGGAGGAGATGCAGCAATTCCCAGAATCCTCAGGAGAGGGCCATGCCCACACAGAGGCCTTGTTGGCTATAAAATGATTACAGGCTAGACTTCACCCCTTCACTCATAATCCTCTCAAATTGACAGCAGATTAACTACCACACCTGCCCATGCAAACTCCCTTCACCCCGTCCCTGGCTGTCAGGACAGCTGAGGGGACTGCCCCTCAGGTTCTCTAGTGCTCTGTGGATGTGAATATGTTGGGAGTATTCAGCCTCCTTCAGGCTCAGAACCAGCAGCACCGGCCAGGTTCTCCTTCGTAGCCGGGAGAAGCCTTCGGATGTTTGAAGAAGGTACTCCGCTTTCCTGTTCAGACACCACTGATCCCAGCCCGAGTTCCTGCAGAACACTCTCCAGGGAGGCACATCTCGTGTGGATGCAGGCCCGAGTGTCAATAAACTAGTGGTCAACTAGACCCAACTCCTGACTTCTCCACGCATGTGTGTCAGAGTAGAACTGTGCTCCACAGGCTGATGTTTCAGATGTAAACTGGTAGACCTGGCCTCTGGGTGGACTGGCATGTCCCCTCATTTGGCTAGTAGCTGGTATGGGTGTTGCCAAGTCTCATCTCTATGTCTGTGGGTATAATCCCATTTAGGAATGGGCTGCCTTTGTTAACGAGGCAGGCTTAGTATCATGTATCTTGCTTGAGTCAATGTCTTTTGAGATACAATAGAGGTTAAACTAGCAAGCAGATAGGAGATAGGTGAGATCTACCCATAGACACAGGGAGCTCTCCAAGGGCTCAGGAAGCAAGATCGGTGACACAAGGACCTTCCTCCAGAGCCGGCAGAGAGAGGAGGCCTTCCCTAGAGCTGGGGCCCCAAGTTTCAATTTCTAGCTTCCTCAACTGTGAGAAAAGACCTTGGTACTACAATGGGTTCAGCACTGGACTGCTAACCAGAAGGTTGACAGTTCAAATCCACCAGCCGCTCCGCAGGAGAAAGAAGAGGCTGTCTGCTCCAGTTTTACAATTCTGAGATCTAGTTTTGGAAAAACTAAGGAGCAGTTCTATTCTTTTTCCTTTAAAAAAATTTTTTTTTATCGGGGGCTCTCACGACTCTCTTAACCATCCATATATCCATTGTGTCAACATTTGCGCATATGATGCTTTGAAAATGACGATGAGGAAGGAGCAGTTCCATTCTGTCCTGCAGAAGCGAGTTGGTAGCGGTAGGGGTGGTTCTTTTTGGTAAGCTGGGAGAAAATAAACACCTGTCGGTGAAAGCCGCAGTGCTGGAGAACCTAACCAGCAGCCAAGGCTGCCCACCGCCCACCGTTTGCACCACCCAGGGGTTCTGAAGGTCCTAGCATTCCACAGTCAGTCCATCTCTGTCTGTGATTCAGTGGCCCAGATCCAGGACTCCCCGACTTGCTCAAAATCTCTCTGGGGCCCAGAAGTCCCCCGAGGTCACCCTCTGTTGCTCTCGCCTTCCCCCTGCAGCTGCCCTGCCTCTCCAGCTACATCCAGCTGAGAATCTTGAACTGGTGAGCCCCGAGGAAACACCTGCGGGGAGGAGGATGCCAGGGCCCGGAGCGGGCCCAGCGAGCTGAGGGCGTTACTTTGCAGCGCCAAGATGAATTGCCGTGAAGAGATTGGGACTGCCAGCCTGGCCCTCAACCAGATCTCCTCCACCGGTGCAGAGATGGAAGGCAAGCCGAGTGTCCAGCCAGCCCCTGTCTCCCGCTCCTGCCCCGCACCCCGTTTCTCATCCTGCCTTCTTCCAGGCGCGTACTCTGGCTTCTTACCCTGCTTCGGCCCCAGCTTCCTGACGTTCCACGGGGGCAAAAAGGCCCCTTTCAGGATCCAGGAGGAGGGCACTGTAAGCTGGTCATTTCAGTGCTGGGGGGCGGAGGGGAGTGGGTGGAGGCGGCTCGGATCCGTTTTCTTCCCTACTCGAGCTGTGGAGGCTCTTAAGTCTCTGTCTAACTAGCCGTGCCGGACAGTGGACATGGTGTGTGGCCTAAGGAAGGAACAGCTGGGGCGGCGATAGGCATTCCTGGAGGGGGGCAGCGGGGAGCTCTTGAGATGAGACTTCGGGTGCCGAGGACATTTTAGACAAACCGACCCAAACCCAACTCGTCATTGAGCCTATTCCGACTCAGGGAGACCCTGAGACAAAGGAAGAGGTAAACGTGGAAAAGCACTGGCCTCTTCTAAACTCGGGTTGAGACGTCGGAACCCCGACCCCAAGTGGGATACGGAATCAAGGGGACGAGGCCGGAAAGGAGTGACCCGGAGCTCAAGGCCAGTAGGAGGCTCTCTGGGCCCCTGGTTCGCTCGCATCCCAACTGGGTCTGGTCCACCTCGTCTTTCCTCTCCGCAGCTTTAAATTGGGAACCCCAGGGCAGCATTCTAATTGGCCTCCTTAAGTCCCGTGTGCTTCCTTCGGGCCAATCACTGTGGCCAAGGGGGACAGGCAGACTCTGATTGGCCAGCCTGTGGAACCAACTCACAGTGTCCTTCGTGCTTCCGCACTCGGCGCTGCCAGCGGCTCAGCGGGATGGGGCGTTTCTACCCCAGCAAGGTGTTACGGTCCCAGAAACTCACAGGGGTGGTTCTGCCATGTCCTAGAGGGTCACTGGGAGTCAGCAGTGAGAGTTAGCATAATCCCCTCTACAGGGAGCATTTATGGGGGACAGGGTACTTCAAGTTGGCCTGCAGATAGATCAGGAGGTAGAAGGGAGCTTAGGGACAGGTTGTCCTCCCTCCACCGCCACACACAGTGGTGTCAGGAACTCCTTTCTGGGATTGAAAGCTCTCTGATCTTTCTCAAGCCAGCCCCAGGCAGGTAGAGGGTGAAGAGAGATTTATTTTTCTCTCACCCTTTTGGTATGTTTCTTTGTTTCTTCCTTCCTCTCTGCTGCCCTGTAGACCCTTCCTGACGCTGTGATGCATGGTTTGTCCTATCAAGGTCGAGCCTTTCTGGAGTTAATCACCCACGTAGGTCCCTATCAAGACTTTAAGATAAAGAATCTCTCCCAGGACGTGGTCATTACACAGGTAACTCAGGAAACCAGAGTTCCCCTGCCTGCCCCACATTTTCTGTGGGCCCCAGTTTCTGGCTTTGATTGATGGTGGTCAGAGGGTTCAGAAGCCTTAGGCTTCCTGCTAAATGTTTTCTCAGAATGCTGAAGAATGATTGATTAATTACCTGAGTATTTCTAAGCCTCCTGCGGGGAGGCTCCGTGCTATGCTCAGGGGACTCGGTATAGACCAGGGTTTCCTTTAAGAAATGAAGAGTTGAGTTTTGGAGAAATGGTGTTGTCTCGCGACCTTATTTTTCACGGCTTTGCAAAGTAACCTAAGGGGCTGGGAAGGCTGCCCGGCATGCAGTGGAGGGCCAGGGAAGCAGGGCTAGACCGGCCAGCTATTCTTGGGGAAGGGCAATGATAATGTCAGAAAGACTATCATCAGCGTTACTGAGGTCTACACGTAGACATTTGTGGAATTGGAGAAGGTTCTGCTGTGCATATTTTCACCACAATGAAGAAAACAGAAAATAATTAACTGGAGTCTAGGAGACGAAGCCGGGCTCAGCCAGTGAAGAGAAATAAAGATACATTCTTGATGGAGGAGACGTGGAGTGAAGAAAGGAAGCAGGGCCCAGAGACCCTTAAGAAACAGAATGGTCAGAGCTAGTGACTCATAGTTCTTTGGACGTGAGAGCAAATCCCTCAGGCTGGTGCCCATTTTCTGGCTTGGGTGACAAGGTGGTCAGAGGTCGCACCCATAGAAATGAGTTCCTTAGAGGAGAAGCGGGGGTGGTAGAGGCAGTGAGTGTTTGTGAGACACCCAGGCAGCTAGCCTCAGAGACTGCTAGATGCTGGGTGTGGGTATGTGGTCAAACCCCAAACCAAATGTGCTGCGATTGACTCACGTCTGACTCACAGCGACACAATGGACAGGGTAGAACTGGCCCCTGTGGGTTATCAAGGCAGTGCATCTTTTCTTATTTTTTTCTCTTAAAAAATTTAAAAAATCATTTCCTTGGGAGCTCTTACAGATAGCATAACATTCCGTAGTTGAATCACATCAAGGAGTTTTGTACAATTGCTACCACAGTCAGTTTCAAAACATTTCCTTTCTTCTTGAACTCCTCGATATCAGCTCTCCTGCCCCCCTTGCCCCACCCCACCCAGGAACCCTTATTTTTATATATATTTTTAAGCAGAAAGGCACAGCCCTCTCCTGTGGAGCAGCTGGTGGGTTCAAACTGCTGACCTTAAGGTTAAGCAGCCCAGTGTGTAACCCACTGCACCACCAGAGCCCTCTGAACGCTGGCATGTGAGCCCATGTGTGGAAGAAATGATCCAGAGAGGGTTGGTGCAGTGAATGTTCTGGGGACGGGGGTAGCCGCGCAGGGGCGCCTGTCAGCCACCGTCTCTGAGGCTGTGGTGGAGACAGAGGGGTTGCCGAGGAAGCTGAGAAGGGTTCTTCTGTGGCAGCCTCGGAGGGTGGCAGAAAGGAGTCGTCTATAGCCCTGAATGTGGCAAAGAGGCAGAGTGAGGACGCAAACCGGCAACAAGCATGTCTGCTGGATAGTGGGAGCGTGCCGACACCCTCGAGCCGAGAGGGAAATCCAGCTGCCATAGACACAGCTAGGAGGAAGAGATGCTGGAGATGGCGCATAGCGGTTTTCAGATGGTTTCTTGTAAGAAATGACTGAAAGGTGAATGGAGATATATCCAGTAGTGGCTAAATAGACTTAAAGGGGAGAAGACGGATTATTTTCTCAGGCATAGGAGACCTGGGGGTTAGTAGAAACTGGCAACAGAAACAAGGCAGAGAGGGTGCCATGATGAATAGACGTCCAAGCATGGGGGGTGGGAACATGCTGGGGAAGAGTGGGCTGCTGGGGCAGGACGCAGAGAGACTCCTCCTCTCCGGGGAGGAAGACTACTTGAGGAGAAGAGCCGGGAAGGTCAGCCAGGGAGGAGGTGAGTGCAATCCCAACTCCATGGCCCTGCCCACCCTGGTGTTCTGGAGGAAGGGAGCGAGGCAAGGAGGGGCTCCTTTACATGGCGAGGGGTGGACAGGCCCAAATCAGAGGCTAGCCTAACCAGGGAGGGGATGCCCTGCCTGGGAACAAGAGGAAAGGAGCCAGCTGCTTGGGTGGGCGGGCCCGGTGAGGTCGTGGGAGGGGCTGCTTCTGATCAGTTAGGTCCAAGGGTCCCAAGCCCTTGTTCTGAGAATGAAGTTTGCATGATGGCCTCCCTCACCCTGAAGAGAAGGAAGTTGACGTTTGAAGGTCATGGGGCCCCTTCTCCTTGCTTCCCCACGTGTCTTGTTCGTCCTTGGCTTGCTCCCCTCTTCGTTTATGTATTGGTGAAGTGGGGGGTTATTGTTTTCAGAAACAACAGAACCGCCAGAAGTATGGGCTGTGTGTCATCTTCCTCTCCTGTGCGATGATGCCTGACTTCAAGGACTTGATCCAGTTCGAGGTCAGCATGGGCCACTACGGGAACAAGACGGATCTGAGTTACAAGCCTCTAGTCTCAACGACGCAGTTCAGCCCAGTGATATATGATGGTAATAGACCCAATGCAACAGTAGATCGCAACCACGGTGTTCCAGGCTGTTACAGAATCTAGCTAGGAGGTGGTTAATCCAATAACTGAGCGTAGGTCTTGCCTTTAAGTCCTTCTCTACACTACATTCTTTCTACACCACAGCTTTCTCAACCCCTCTGCGCCCCATCCATCTCCACGCCACCCAGCACTCCATCTATCCAGCCACCATTCATTTATCCAGTAACCATCTAGCCAACCTCTCAAAAAAACAAAACCAACTCACTGAAATTGAGGCAGTTCTTCTTCATCGTGACCCCGTGAGGCAGGGTAAAATGCCCCTGTAGGTTTCCAAGACCCTTTATAGAAAGTCTCTTATTCTTGTAGAGCAGCTGACGATTTCAAACTGCTGACCTTGCCGTTAGGAACTCAGCAGATAACCATGACTCCACCAGGGCTCCA